CCAGGTACACGGAGAGGCGGGCCTGGCCAGGGGCAACCAGCCAGGGAGTGGGAGCCAGAGGCACCTTTTGCACATAGGGCCTCAGGCCTAGACAAGGCCCCTGTCACCTGCTCCTAGGGCCTAGCTCTCCCCTGGGACCTTAGCCCTTGTCCAGAGCCAACCTCCAGGATGCTGGAGCGGTCACACGCAGCCCTTCCCTGCCTCAGGGCGCAGCCCGTTCCCTGGTCACACGCAGCCCTTCCCTGCCTCGGGGCACAGCCTATCCCTGGGAATGCCCAGCGGAGCCCTGGGTTCCTCAGGCCAAGAGAAACAAGCCAGTTCCCAGGCCGGGCAGGTGATGCCCTGAGACCAGCCGCCCGGGGTCCCTGCCACACCAGCCCCAGGCCCAGCCCTGGGACCCTCCACAGAGCCCGCATGGCCTGGTGCTCAGCTTCGCTGGCGGTGGCCCTGAGAGGCGCTGGGGCTCGGGCTGGGGGACAAGGAGGGAACCCCCAGGTGTGAGCTTGTCCTCTGAAGTGGGGACCTGCAGGAGGGCTGGGCACAGAGCCTCAGGCCTTGGCAGCGTGGGCCATGGAACCTGCAGCCCCAGAATCGCAGAGCCCACGGCCCCAGAACTAGGGTTCCCCGAGGGGCTGGCTCCCCCTGAGTCAGCGCAGGCTCCCTGCTGTCCCAGAAGAACGGAGCCTTTGTCTCATGCTCTGCCCCTGCCTCTCCCTCCGCTGCTCACGGCGCCTCCTGTCGCCTGGAGCTGATGGCCGTGAGCCCTGGAGCTGCATGTTGCTGTAGGTTCCTGGGCAGTGAACATGGGCCTTATCCCTTTCCTCCCTCCCTCCTCCCCCTCATTTGCTCCAACTACCCATCCGCCCACCCATCCACCCATCAATCCACCCATCCACCCATCAATCCACCCATCCACCCATCATCCATCCATCCACCCATCCACCCATCCACCCATCCACCCATCCACCCATCCACCCACCCATCCACCCCTCAATTCATCCATCCACCCATCCACCCACCCACCCACCCATCCACCCATCCACCCACCCATCCATCCATCTACCCACCCATCCACCCACCCACCCACCCACCCACCCATCCACCCATCCATCCACCCATCCACCCATCCATCCACCCATCCACCCACCCATCCACCCATCCACCCATCAATCCATCCATCCACTCATCCACCCATCCACTCATCCACCCATCCACCCATCCACCCATCCACCCATCCACCCATCCACCCACCCATCCACCCATCCACCGACCCACCCATCCACCCATCTACCCATCCATCCACCCACCCATCCACCCATCCACCCACCCACCCATCCACCCATCCACCCACCCACCCATCCACCCATCCACCCACCCATCCATCCATCCACCCATCCATCATCCATCCCTCAATCCATCCATTTATCCACCCATCCACCCATCCACCCATCCACCCATCCATCCATCCATCCACCCATCCATCCATCCATACATACATACATACATTTATCCATCTGTCTATCCAGTCACCCATCCACCCACCTCCTCATCCACTCACACCACATAAGAGTCCTCCAGGAGTTCATTACAATGGTGTTTCTGCCTTCTCCTCCCTCTTCCCTTTCTTACTGACACGCCTGTCCCTGGTGAGAGAGCCTAGTGTCTCAATAACCATGGAGTGAACCCAGCGGGGCTCTGAGAGCCTGGGGTCCACAGGGGTGGTGGGAAGCTCTGGGATTGGCCAACCCGACAGGCAGACCCGCTCTTCTCACTGAAGATGATATGATAAGGGGGGACCCCAGAGGACACCACAGATCCCAAGCCTCAAGCGGGAAATAAGTCTCTTCCGTAGATATGTGCTCTGCCCGTCGTGTGTCCATCTCTGGCACCAGTGCCTCTTGCTCTGGGAGTGTAAGGCCCTTTCCCTGACAAGCAGCCTCCTGACCACTTTGTCCCCGTCCCCTGGGAACAGGAAGTGCCCCTCTCCTTGTTGGGCGCTATTACTCTTTTTCCTAAATATTTAAATACTAGAGGCCCGGTGCACAAAATTCATGCACAGAGGGGGGGTGGTTCCCTCAGCCCAGCCTGCACCCACTCCAATCGGGGACCCCTTGGGGGTTGTCTGACCCTATGAGTTTAGGCCCTGTGGGATTGAACCTAAACCAGCGGCCGGACACCCCTCTCACATCTGGGACCGCTGGCTCCTAACCACTCACCTGCCTGCCTGCCTGATTGCCCCTACCCTCTCTGCCTGCCTGATCGCCCCTAACTGCCCTCCCCTGCTGGCCTGATCTAGCTCCCAACTGCCCGCCCTGCCAGCCTGATCTCGCCCGTATCTGCTCTCCCCTGCTGGCCTGATCACCCCTAACTGCCTTTGCCTGCATGATCACCCCTAACTGCCCTCCCCTGCAGGCCTGATCTCGCCCCCAACTGCCCTCCTCTGCCGGCCAATTTGGTTCTGATTGGTCAGTTTTTCTATGCCAGTCAGCGTCAAAAGCTCCGCTTCCTAGGCAGCCATTGGCTCCTTACATTCACCCAGATTTGGTTCTGATTGGTCAGTTCCTATGCCAGTCAGCGTCTCTGGGCCTATCAATGGGGCCTGATCAGAAAAGCGGGGCTGATCAGCAGCCAGAGTGGAGGCCTGGAGAGAAATGGAGGCGACTGTTGGCCAGGCCGGGAGAGAAAGAGCAGCAAGTTCTGATCAACGGCTGCCCCAGAGGCTACGGATGAGACCCTGCCTCTCTCTGCAGGCCTCTCTCCGAGCCTGACCCGCAGCAGCCCCAGTCAGTGCTGGGTCGCCACAGCAACCCAGGACTGACTTCTAGTCTGGTGGAGCCTTCGGTCTTAATCAGTCATTACGACCCTGGCCCTTTAGTATATAGATCACTCTTGTTTTTATTGATGTCAGAGAGGAAGGGAGAGGAAGAGAGAAAAATATCAATGATGAGAAAGAATCATGGATCGGCTGCCTCCTGCAAGCCCACCACTGGGGATCGAGCCTGCCACCTGGGCATGTGCCCTGACTGGGAATCAAACCGTGACCTCCTGGTTCATAGGTCGATGGTCAACTGCTGAGCCACACCCAAACACTGCTGGACAATCTGGAACTTTAACAAGATGTTTACAAACAGCTGATGAAATTCCGGGATTGGGATACTGTCTTCCCAGGCATGTGAGCCCAGACCTCAGACGGGCACCGCCTCCCCCGCACCCTGCTTTGTACAGCCCAGGTTCCTGCCGCCCGTGCAGGTGCAGGGGAGGGAGCCGGCGGGGCTGTCTCAGCATCAGCCGGGGGCCAGAGACCCAGATGAGGGTCCTCACATGGCCGAGACCGGAGCCCAGGCAGCTGCCCAGCAGCCACGCTCCACTCGGTGGCCCCAGGGACCCGGCTTTGGCACCTGTTCCTGGTCCGAGGGGTTTGCGTGTTTTTGCAGCTGCTCTGGGTGTGGGACAGGCCCCGGGGGAGGGAGGTGGGTCCCAGCGGGCTGCCAGGGAGCTCTCCCCACAATCCCAGAGCTTAGGGGAGCACATGTTTGTGCCATCAGCCTGGGACAGTTACGCAAGCGGGAGCCTGGGTGGCTCCCGGGAGCAGGGCCTGCTGGGTGGAGGGACGGGGCACCTGGAGGCCCAGGGGCGCCTGGCCCCGTGCCCGGGACAGAAGAGCAGGCCCGACAGTGGGCCCCAGGTCACACGGAGCTGGGTGGGTGTGAAGGCGGGGGGTGGGGTGCTGTCACCCCCAGGCCCCATACATGCTGCTGCTCAGCCCAAGCTCTCTGCACCCCATCTTCCCAGGCCTCCCTCAGGCATTTCAGGAGTAACAAGTCCCAGCCTGAGCCCATGTGTGGCCCACGCCACCCAAATCTCCTACCCAGCAGCCAGCGGGGGGTGGGGAGGCACTTTGGGGCGAAGGCAACTCCCTGTCCTGCTGCCTGGGAGCCCAGCTCGGCGGGTGTACCCGCTGTCCCCTCTGGGCTCCTGCTTTGGGGGTCTCCTTGCGGCCCCCCAGCCCTGCCGACCTCTGGGCATTGGCACCTGTTGCCCGGCTGCCTTCCCGAGTCCATGGCACCCACCACCTCCCCTTCTGAGAGGCCGGCGACCCTCCACCCCCTGCCCCCTCCACAGCCCCGTCAGGCGCCCCCACTTTTTGGTCGGTTTGCCGGCTGTGGCCCCGTCTGTCCGGTCACTGTGGTGTCCCAGTGCCCGTGTGATCCTGGTGCTCAGGGCGCCCCCGAGCGCTGCTCTGATGCCCGTGGGGGACAGTGGCGAGGACCCGGCTTTATGGCAGACCCCTCTGCCCACCCAGGACAGCTCCGGGGCCTCGGTGTCCCCGGGTGCAGCAGGAAACCTCTGTCGTCATGGAAACCGTGCCCGTGCCGCCTTCTGAGCACAGAAGCTCTGGGGAGGAGTCAGGGGCTGTCACGTGGCAGCCCAGGGGGTTTTCCGTTGAGACTCGTAGGGATGAGGCCTGCCCCCCCCCCACCCCTCCACCCCCGCCCCAGCCAAGCAGGCAGGAGGGAAATTTCCACCATGCGGCCCGGTGGGGAGCCCAACCTGAGCCCCAACTTCTCTCCTGGGAGGGTGGCCACACCCAGACCCCGTGCCAGCCTCCTCCTGGGTCTCTGGAGCCCACAAGTCTGGCCGCAGAGGAAGATGGGGCTGGAGGCTGGGGTCCCCCTCCCCCTGCCGAGGGAATCCGGGTGCCTTGTTTCAAGACAGGGTGCCCTCAGGCCACCTGGGCCTCAGAAAGCCCCAGCCGGTGTGGCTCAGTGGATAGAGCGTCAGCCTACGGGCCAAAGAGTCCAGGGTTCCATTCCCGGTCAGGGCACATGCCCGGGTTGCGGGCTCGATCCCCAGTGGGGGGCGTGCAGGAGGCAGCCGATCCATGATTCTCTCTCCTCATTGATGTTTCTCTCTCCCCCTCTCCCTTCCTCTCTGAAATCAATAAACACATATTTTTTTTAAAAAGAAGAAAAACAACGCACCCATAGACAACCTCAGAGAAGGACAGCAGGGCTGCACCTTTATTCTCCTCTCGTGCCCTGGGCGCAGCGGGCAGTGGTGACGCGCTCCCCCTCGGAGACCCGGCCCAGACCTGCCGCGGGCAGCCGGGGCGCGGGGGTGTCCAGCCCGGCTCCAAGGAGGCCCCAGTGGCTGTGTGAGGGGCTGTGAGGGAGGGAGGCCTGCGCAGATGGGCCGGCGAATGGAGGGTGAATGGCCCCGGGAGAGACCCACAGGGAACCGAGGATCCGCCTCCCCCTGCACACGGCTCTGGCGCAGGGGGGTGGAGGGCTGGTGGTCATGGCGCAGGGGCTCCTTGGGGACAGGCTGAGGGGGTGGCCGGCTGGACACAGGCCACGTGCAGCCCGAGCCAGGCCGAGGGGGCAGGAGGGCCCGGCCAGCCCTCGGGCTGGCTCACCAGGAGGCCCAGAGCAGCGCCCACAGCAGGCTGCCCGAGGCGCTGGCCCACAGGGCGCCCCGGCCGCCCGCCAGGCCCCCGGCCCCGTTGCGGTTGCACTGGCTGCCCTGGCAGCAGAAGACGGAGAGGGCGCGGCCATCCGAGGACACGGTGCTGTTGGGGCAGGTCGGGGCGCAGGACTTCATCACCAGGATGCCGCCGGGGTTGGCTGTGGAGACAGAGGGAGGCCGTGGGTGGCACCCGCCCAAGCCCTGGGGCCTGACTGGTGTGAGGGTCCGAGGGAGCCTGCCCCGTGTGTGTGAGTGGAGGGGGTCCTTCCTGGTGCCTCTGGGCCCAGGAGGCCTGTCTCCCCTCAGACCAGGCTCCTCTCTGGCATCTGGGGCCAGGGAGTGGCCTGGGGACTCACACACCCCGTCTCTGCCCCTTTCCCTCTGACCGAGTCTGGAGTCTGGGATTCGGGCCCAGAGGATGGTCAGGCCCTGTGCTCACCCCGCCCCTTTCTGGGGCTGGAAGCCTTAGGAAACGGGGCGCAGGGCTATGGGAGAGCACAGCCTGCAGCAGCTCTGGGGCCCACAGGGGAACGGGGGGGGGGGGGGCGGGGGGCAGAGCTGCCCTGGGAAGCAGAGCCCTGGGAGGGAGCGGGCCTCAGCCACTGCCATCATCTGCCCCAGCCCCGCGGTGGGCGGTCAGGGCAGCTGGGAGGGTCCTGGGAGGACCGGCAGGCGCTGCTCCCCTGCCCCGGCGGCAGCTGGGCTCCGTAGGGAGGGGCCTGGCCTCCCTGTGCCTCGATGTCCCCTCCCGAAGTGTGGGTCACAGCAGAGCCAGCTCCGCGGGGTTTGGGTTAACGAGGCCGTGTGGCTGCCTGTGCGTTTCAGCCGCGGGCAGTGCCCGCGCACAGAGCCCATGGCCCACCTGAGGGGCCGGGCCAGGCAGCCGCCCCTCGCCCTCAGGAAGGAACGTCTCCCCAGAGGCCCTCCAGCCCGGCTCCGCTGCCCCGCCCACACCTGTTCCCTCAGGCCTACTGACCACGGACTCACTCTCATTTAAACCGTAAAGCCCAGCCCAGCCCGGCCCGTGTGGCTCAGGGGTTGAGCATTGACCTATGAACCAGGAGGTCACGGTTCGATCCCTGGTCAGGGCACAGGCCCGGGTTGTGGGCTCCATCCCAGTAGGGGGGCATGCAGAAGGCAGCCGATCAATGGTTCTCTCTCATCATAGATGTTTCTCTCTCTCCCTTCCTCTCTGAAATCAATGAAAAATATTTAAAAAATAAAAAACATACAAATATTAAACTCTAAAGCCCACTGTGGGGCTGGGCTGCTGGTAGAGCTGTGACCCTCACATCCACACGGGAGTGGGGACGGGTGGGCCCCTGCCCGCTGCAGCCCGGGGTGGGCCAGCTCGGGGTTCCTGCTGGAGGGTGTGCTGCCCTTGGGTCTGGCCCGGCAGGCGGGCGCGGGGTGGGCGTAGTACTCACTGGCCCGCGTGATCACACAGTACTTGTCCGTCTGGGCACACTCCACCAGGGACTCACAGTTGGCGTGGCCGCAGCACACGTGGCAGTGCAGGGCCCGGGCTGAGAAGAGGGAAGCACAGGCCCATGAGTGGCTGGGGCCGGGCCTGGCCTGGGCTGCCTGTGCCCGCTGGCCTCTCTCAGCCTCCCCGCTCCCTCCCCGCAGAGGTGCTCCTGGTCCCGGGATGGGCCGAGGCCTGGGGCCTCGGTGGTGGTGGCCCTGCGTGTGTGAGTCCCTATCTGTCAGCAGGAGTGAGGGTGCAGGGGTGGGGGGCACGGCAGCTGCAAGCAGCCGGCGACAGGATGGGACGGGGAGGCCCTGGGCAGCATGTGCGATGCGAGGAGGGTCAGCTCCCAAGGCCATCGGGTCCCCTCTCCCTGAGCCTCGGTGTCCTCACCCCTAAGAGACGCCCGATCTCACGGGAGGACCTGCAGCGCCCTTCACGGGCCGAGGCCGGGGCCTGCTGCCGGCCCGGAGGTCAGCTGTGCACACGGGCCCTTTAGTGAATCGGAAGGAACGGCCTTGCCCTTCCCCTGCGGGGCCTGCGGTGACCCAGCCCCTGGCCCATCACTGGGAGCCTGTAGCACAGGCCCTTGTCCTGCCCCCCTCCCCCGCCTGCTGGTCCCAGGGACAGGGAGATGAGCACAGGCTCCAGGGCCGGGGACCCCACCGGCCGCCCAGGGGACAGCTGGCTGAGAGGGATGGGCCGTGTGGAAAGGCTTCCTGGGTGGGCGGCCCTGGAGCATCCACGTGCTGTCTGGGGAAAGGGCCCTGGGGAGCAGGTGCCTGGCGGGGACCAGGCTGGAGGACCCAGAGCTTTGACGGGGCAGGGGCGCAGGCGGGAAAGCCAGGAGCCCTCCGGGTATGGGCCTGTGCTGCAGGGAGGAGCACCTCTGAGCCAGGGCTCTGGGGAGGCAGCCAGGTGCCCTGGGGGTTCTCGCAAGGGGTGCCCTGTGCCGTGGCCTGCAGGACGAGACGGGCCCGCTCTGACCCGGGGGCTGGCGCCTATGACATGGGTAACAGCACCTTCCCCAGCTGGACCCACTGATGTCGGAGCCCCTTTCCTGGTGTGCAGTGTGGGGGCGCAGGTGGCAGAACCCCGGGCCAGCAGGAGGGTGAGCTCAGCGCCCCCTCACCTCCAAATCAGAGGCCCTGCTTCCCAGGCCAGGGTTCTGGAACCTCCAAGAAGAATAGGCCTCACCCTAGCTGGTGTGGCTCAGTGGATAGAACATTGGCCTGCGGACTGAAGGGTCCTAGGTTCAATTCTGGTCAAGGGAATATGCCCGGGTTGCGGGCTCGATCCCCGTTGGGGGGCGTGCAGGAGGCAGCCGATCAATGATTCTTTCTCATCATTGATGTTTCTCTCCCTCTCCTTTCCTCTCTGAAATCAATAAAAACATAAAAATGTGAACTATAGATGCATTAGAAGAAACGGGCGTCTCTGTGCAGGGCCCTTTCTGCAGCGGTGTCCTGGGTGCTGCGGGCAGGGAGCAGCCTTGCTCCTCTGAACAGGAACCCGGCCGCGCCCCGGTGTCCCCGGGAGGCCCGTGGTCCCATGTCGGGGCTGTGCTGAGGTCAGTGGCTCACCTCTCCAGGTCCCCGAGCCGGGGCCCTTCACGCAGGTGCTGTCCCAGCCTGTGCCCTTGGGCACCAGCCCTCCATCTGCCTTTCCAGCTCCCCAAGCTGCCACCCACAGCCCCCCACCCTCGCCCCAGCCCCGGGGCAGGCAGACAGGAGGCTCATTCAGGCCCCACGCCCAGGGAGGCTGCGGGGGTAATTAGCCCTGGGTGGGGGGTAATTATCCAGCTGATAATCATGGGCTGACCCACTCACTCCCTCCCCAGGCCTCGTTTCCGGTGGCCTTGCTGCAGCCGCAGATGCTCACAGCCACACAGCCGGGCCATCACATCAGGTGGGGCACAGCGGGGCTGAGAGGGGAGCCACCCCTGCATTTTCCTGGTTTCAGCGCCGAGAGTCCCGCCTCCGAGGAATTCCTTTTGCACTCGGAAAACAGGACCCTTGAGACACCCCTGAACCTCAGGCCCCAGCGCAGCCCAGCGTTCCGCAGCCTCGGCCTGTCACTGGGAGCCTCACCCCCACAAGGACTAGGCTGACCAGAAACAGGGTCCAAAGGGACACAGAGGTCTGCACGTCGGGCTGGCCAGGGCAGCGCGAGGCCTCAGCCTCCGTCCCGGCAGCCCCCCATCCACAGGCCCTCGGCCAGGCCTGCCAGCCCCTGGCCCCTGCCGTCCTGCCGCCCTTACCCACGGCGTCCCCGGCGCCAGGCGGGCGGCCCTTACCCGAGTCCGCGCACAGCGCAGCCAGAAACAGAAGCACCAGGACTGGCCTCATCGTGGGGTGTCCGCCGCAGGGACTGGGCGCAGGCGTGGGGCGGCTTTATACAGCGGCCGGCGGGACAGACCTAGTAATTTAGCTGGAGATGAGCTTGGGGAGCGGGGCCACCTGACTCGGGCGCCCGGCTTGCCCCACCCCCAGCGCCCGGGTGCTCTCGAAGGTCACGGTGCCCCTCGCTGAGCCTCGGTTCCTCGCTCCCGCCATGGCCAGCAGCCCCCGGCTGGGTCGGGGAGCAAGAGGCAGGCGCAGCCCGGCTGGCGGGGCTCAGTGGTTGGCGTCAACCTATGAACCAGGAGGTCAGGGCACAGGCCTGGGCTGTGGGCTCGCTCCCCAGTGGGGGGCGTGCAGGAGGCAGCCGATCAATGATTCTCTCTCATCATGGATGTTTCTCTCTCTCCCTCACCTTTCCTCTCTGACATCAATAAAAAAAATATTTTTTTTTAAAAAAAGCAGGCACAGGGAGGGTGGTCTATGGGGTCCAGCCCACTCTGGGGCGGGGGATACGGCCCTGCCCTGCGTCTGTCTGCAGGACATGGGGAAACTTTAAAGGGGAAACTGAGGCACGCGGAGCTGAAAGCTGGCTTTGGGCGGTGTCTGGATCTTCACTGTGGCTGCCTGGGGCCCTGGTCAGTGCTGGCCTGAGACCCCCGCGTTCCAGCAACCTCCTCGGGGTGCCGCTGCCGCTGCTCTGAGGGGCCCAGCACCCCAGCGGCACTCGGCCACTGCTCTCCGCCTCCAGGCCAGGCTCTGAGGACCATGTGACATCCACTCCATCATCCAGTCCATGCACCTCCTCCAACCGCACCCTCCCTCTCCACCTGCCCCCCAAGCCTGGGGCCCCGCCTGGAGCCGTCCTGGACTCAGGCCTGGTGTCTCCCCAGACCCCACCTCAGCCCTCTGCCCAGATCTGAGAACAGTCCTGGCTCTGCTTCAGGGGGCACATGGCTCCCCGCCGGCGTGGCTCAGAGGTTGAGCATCAGCCTATGAACCAGAAGGTCACGGTTCGATTTGCAGTTGGGGCACAGGCCCCCCAGTGTGGCGCGTGCAGGAGACAGCGATCCATGATTCTCTCTCTCCTCCTTTCCTCTCTGAAATCAATAAAAGTACCCTTTTTAGAAGGGGGGGGGGGGCACATGGCTGGGAAGGGTGTGACAGACCGTGTGGAATGCTGGGGAGAGGCCGGGTGGAGCCCATGGCCAGGAACATCCCGCAACCTTCCCGCTGGGCACTCCCTGCCCGAGTTCCCAGGAGGGGGAGCCCCACCCACACAGGCGCCCGACTGCAGCCAGCCGCTCAAGGAAGCCACCAGCAGGCGACCGGCCCAGTGACCAGCCCAGGCCTCTGGGAGTGACGGTGCTGCAGAGAGGCTGCGGGAGGGGGGACAGCCGGGCTCGGGGGCCCCCCTGCCCCAGGCCAGGCCTTGGTGATCCCTCTGCAGTGCCCAGCTCAGGCCCTCAGTGCTGGGGCGCAGCGTGAAAGGCTGTGTGTGGGGGTGTGGGAGACCCACATTCACAGGGGCCGGTCAGGTGCCGCTCCCCGGCCCTGTACGCAGGCCGTGTCTCCACATGTTGAAGTTGGGGTGAGGAGGGGGAGACCCTTGAGGGCAGAGGGGGAGCCCATGGACAGGAGTAGGACCAGCCCAGCCAGGTGATGGGCTCCCCACACTCTCCCGCTGTGAGGTCTCAGGGTGCGGCCTCTGAGTGCACCCCGCACGGGAGCTGCCTGCCCACTTCCTTCCTGGAGCCTCTAAGAGGAGACGCTGGGTGGGGGAGGAGAGCGGGGGTAATTTTCTCGGGGTCCCCGGGGGTGGCTGTCTGGGCAGCAAGGAGCCGGGATGCAGGACGCGCATGTTCCTGAGCGTGGGCGGCTGATACTCCCCAGGACCCAGGAGGCGGCAAACTGGACCAACGGGGTGTCCCAGCAGCCCGTGGCCCGCAGGGTGACCCTGGGACAGTCCAGCCTGCCCCACACACCCAGTTTAATTTGGGGTTTGCTAGGGAATAGCAGAGAAGTGTAATCCGGAACAAGCATGCTATCCCAAAAACTGAGTTCTGCAAACACAGGTGGAACTTTACAGAGAAAAAGGAGGAAGTGGGAGGGGCTTTGAACTGAGCCCCAAGGCCTGTGGGCGGGAACTGGAGAGTCTGGTGTCCTGGCGAGGGTTTGGCCCGGCGGGGCGGCTGGCTGGCAAGGAGGAACTCCCCTCCTCCTGCTGGAGCCCCGACAGCTGCCTCTGCTTGTCGGGTCTGTGCAGGGCTCCCCACTGGGAACCCTGGGCCCACTTTTTATTTTTTTTATTTTTTGCGAGAGGATTTTTTTACATTTTTATTTTCGGGCTTCCATTGGCCGGATCCACAGCTGGTGAGTGGGGGTGGGGGAGAGGGATACTGATCCTTGGTTGGCAAAACCCAGCCTCCCATTTCCCCGCGCCACAGTGGATCGGTGGCAGAGTTTTCCAGCTCACCGCGCCATGGAGGGAGGAAGGTCCCGCACTCCGGCCTGGCGCTGGCGAGGGCGCAGCCTGTGCGCCTCCTGCCCCCCGCGGGGCAGCACCGATTTCCTGGCAGCTGCCCGGGGAGCAGCAGCCTCTCTAGCAATCGTAGAGGCGACGGGGGAAATGGGAGGACTGGGCTGATCTGTAATGATTTTGTCCCTTGGCTCTTGGTGAGAAGATCTTTATCGCCGAGACTTCTGTGCGCCCTATTTTTCTTTTACTCTCGTACAAAAAGTGGGGGAGGCGGGCTTTTGATTAAATGTGTAATTGAGCCAAGGTATTTAGCCATTTGTCCACTTTTTATAAATATATTTTAATTGATTTCAGAGAGGAAGGGAGAGGGTGAGAGAAACATCAATGATGAGAATCATGGACCAGCTGCCTCCTGCACGCCCCACACTGGGGATGGAGCCAGCAACTGGGCCTGTGCCCTGACCGGGAATCGAACCAGTGACGCTCAACCTCTGAGCCACTCGGGCCGGGTCGGATCCTTTTTGAACGTGATTTCCTTGGTTTGTGTTCACACCTGATTTTATTTTATTTTTATTTTTTTTCTTCTTTTTTTTTTAAATTAAATCTTTATTGTTCAGATTATTACAGTTGTTCCTCTTTTTTCCCCCCATATCTCCCCTCCACCGGGTTCCCCTCCCACCCTCCGCCCTCACCCCCCCACCACTGTCCTCATTCATAGGTGCATGATTTTTGTCCAGTCTCTTCCTGCATCCCCCACACCCCTTTCCCTCCCAAGAATAGTCAGTCCACTCCCTTGCTATGCCCCTGATTCTATGATAATCACCAGTTCATTCTGTTCATCAGATTATTCACTTTATTTTCAGATTCACTTGTTGATGGATGTGTGTTTGTTGTTCATAATTTGTATCTTTACCTTTTTCTTCTTCTTCCTCTTCTTAAAGGATACCTTTCAGCATCACACCTGATTTTAGAATCTCTCCCAGACCTTGGGTGTCTACCGTTTGCAACAGCAACAGTAAGACTCACCTCCACCTTCCCTCCCAGCCCAGCCGCCTGGGTCCCGTTCTGCTCAGCACACCCTTTAAGCGCAGCCCGCGGCAGTGCCTGTCCCCGCCGCTAGGGGCGCAGGAGGGGCGAGCGCGCCCCGTGCCTGTTTCCAGCCCCTGCACCGCGCCTCCATCCCCAGACCCATCCTTCAATAATTAGCATTGCGACCCCTTCCGCCCTCCACATCCGAGACCCCAGCCAGGACCTCTGCGGGGTCCTCTGCGGGTCAGAGTTCAAGCTGTCACCTGCTCACCTGCCCTGCGCACTGACGCAGAGTAGGCACCGCACACCCGGGGCCAATCCGCGCTCAGGTCCTAGGCCTGGGAGCTGAGCATGGCTTTGGAGAAGAGGGGTCCCACACCCCAAATCCTAATTGCAGGAAAGGCCAGGGTTGCCCAGAATGCTGAGGCTGTGCTGCACACCTGGCCCCAGGTTTGGAGGCAGAACAGGGCACGGGGAGAATGGGGTGTCTCCACTCTGGTGACATTGGGGGTGAAGTCCAAGTTCGTGCAGTGGAGTCCCTTCTCTCCTGACTCCTGGGATCTGGGAGGACGAGCTAAGGATGAGCAGCTGCAGCGTCTCCCTCATCAGGACAGGGTCCCAGGATGACGCCCTACCCACACCAGGGGTCCTGCCCCCCACCCCCCCAACCCCCCCGCACTCCGACTCCTGCTCTGACCCTCACCCCCGTGGAGAGGCTGCCACAGGCCTCAGGGCCACGGGGTGAGAGCCCCGCTCAGGTGGGTGCCTTTACACCGCCCCTGCGTGTCCCGCCTTCAGGGTGGCGCTGGGGTCTCCACCTCCATAGGAGGCCTCCCCGCGGGCCCTGCTGCGAGCGGTGCTTCCTCTCCCACCTCTCTCCACCCTCCTCCCCTGCAGACACGGCTCCCGGGAGCCTGCCCAGAGCCGGGCACCCAGCTCCAGAGACCCAGCCCAGCCCAGTGCCCGGCTGGGGAGCAGGGGGGCTGCATATTTGAGGCAGGGTTCTTTCTAGGGTGAAAGTGTCCTGCCCTGAGTAGTGATGGCTGCACCTGGTGAACATGCTAAAATGCCGAGTCCCGCCCTGTTAGATGCTGAGTTTGTGCGGTGACTGTGGTCCCAGAATTAAAGTCAGGCAGCGATTCAGAGACCTGGCGGCAGCAGCCAGACTCCCCGGGTTTCCAGGCCATCGCAGCGGCTTTGGGGTCCCTCGCCCTACTCAGCAGTCCCTGGGGGAACACGACCAGTTCCCGCAGAGCTGGGTGGCCCGCACAGGGACGCAGGGCAGTCCCCAGGGCAGTGGCCCTGGCGCCAGGCACAGGCTCTGTTCGGCTGCCCAGCCCAGACCTGCAGGACGGCCAGGGGCGGAGGGGCCTGAGCTCTGCGCGGCTGGGACCCTGTTCCAGGACACCCTCCCTGCAGCTGCTGGGCTTCGCTGGGAGAAAGTGTGGCCTGTGTGCGGGACGTTAGAGGGAAGCACACTTCTCAACACCAGCTCCACGGAAGCCCTTTATTTCTCTCCGCGCCTGGGTGACTCGCTGTGAATGGTAACTGGCTCACAAGACAGCAAAGGGGCGTGAACTTGCACTGAGGAATGGGGGTGGGGGCGGGGGACCCGGTCACCGAGGCGAGTTCTTCTCACGTCAGGGCGCTGCTCAGGAGGATGCAGGCGCAGCTCAGGAGGGCTCCCCAGAGCCCCCCGCCTCCCAGGCGCACGGCCCCTTCCAGCTCCTCCTCGATGGTCTGGTCGGGAAGGATGTCCCGCTCCAGGTTGGTGGGCCCCCCGACGTTGCAGCTCATGATGCCGCAGCACCTCACCCAGTAGAAGCTGTTGGTCCTCAGGGCCTTAGGGGCTGGGGGCGGCAT